CAGTAGAAAGCTGAACTTGCAGTGCTTTAAACTAAAAGGCAAACAACATAGTTTATTACTTATTTACTCTCCCAACCTACGATACATTTCCATCGTAATGTATTCAGGAGCGGTGTTTCTCAGCCTCCAAGCCAAAATCTGGACCTTGAAAGATAATTAACACTCATAAATATGCTCTTCATACACCATTTTCCAAGTTGAAGGTTTACATTGTTTTAAAAAAAACATGAGACTATTATTGAGCCTCTAATCTGGATGTTCATTTTATTAAAATAAACCTTCTTCTCACTGCCTAGAAATAATTAAAATCAGTAGACGTGTGTATTCCCCTTTTAAAACGGAGGAAAAATGAATAAACAGCACAATGGAATGACCTTCCGGAATAATCCGACAGGTGTAGCCCCTCCTCCCCCTCCCTGTCCAGCGGGGGTCACATGTTTGGATCTGGACCGGAGCACCATTAACATATTCTTATCAGTGGCTGGGAAATGAATCTTGCTCTTATCTGCTGGCTGGTCTCCAGCTGTGTGTGTGTGTGTGTGTGTGTGTGTGTGTGTGTGTGTGTGTGTGTGTGTGTGTGTGTGTGCTCTCACACTCCGCTGGAGCTCTGCCATCCGCTCCACATCACCTGCACTTTTGATATTATTATTTGATACTGAAAGTCTGACTTTCACTACTTCTAAGATGAATTTAGAAATAGAGCATTTTACAATTTTTCTCCATGTTTTTTAATCTGTAAACTGATGTAAAAGGCCTCCCGTCTCTTAAAGCTTCACATTAACACTGTTAATGCTGTTGTCAGAGTTCAGATTAGGACAGCCTCGTGTAGATCTACCAGCACCCTCAAACACTCTCTGCTTTGTGTCTAATCTGCTGCTGCTTTGGGTCTGACTGCAGGGAACGTCCCCGGAGACTCCAAACTCTGATTTAGTGCCGTGTTCCTGCTGGCAGCATCCACTCAGCTCACAGCCACTTTAGCTCAGTGCTGAGTGAGGATCCGTTTGGGCGTCCACACCCTCAACGCTGCATGTGCTGGAGCCCACTGCGTGTAGAGAGAGAGATAAAGCAGTATCACTATCCATCCATAGTCTATGCCTCCGTAATCCAATTCAGACTGCAAGTGGAAGGAGAGGCGCCACCTAGCCCGAGGCGTGGACACCCTGCTGAAAACAGAAAAACATGCATGATCATACTCACTCCTAGGCTAAATTTACAGCTCCCAACTGACCCAGCACTCATGGTTTGTATTGAGAACATTGAGGGAGAACGGGAACATGTCGAATCACACACAAAGAGGAACATCTGTGAATGTTGCTGCTATGAGAGGATGAGGATGGACAGTCATAATGCTCAAGTATAATAAAATGACACAGCTGTCATAAGATACACCGCAGTGATAATGATCAGTCCAGTGCAGTTCAGGTCAAATTTCTTTGCAATGCGTCACTTTAGAATAGTCATCTTAAGACACTCTGCAAGTTCAGTTTAAGAACAATGAATTGCAACCCAATTCAATCCCAAATGGCTTTGAAAGATTTTTTAGCATACAAAATCTAACAGATCTATTTCCCCCCATCTTTTTTAACAGCCATTTCCATTTCCCCTTGAACTTTAAGCATTATTTGTCACTGATTGACTTTGTTTACAGATCAAATCAGCAGTCCCAATAAATGCACAGATGATTTGAAACATGCTGCTTTATTAAAGTATGACATGGAATTTTAGGGAATCAGTATGATTATGAATATGCTGTTTTTTAAGTTGTTATCAAAACTTAAAAACCAAAACATTTTGCATGTTGTATTTCAGTTGAATAAACACATTTTTAAAAAGTGTATAAATCCAAATAACCATTGGAATGACCTTCGTTTATGCACGCGGATCAATAAAAGTTCACGTTGGGAGGCATGAGGCCGATACTGTGTCAGTGCTGTGTAGGCAGTGTGGTTCTGAGAGAAAGTCTCATTTTCTGCTCTCTGCATGTAAGAGAGACAATGCCTGCTGTCACAACTGACCTTGGCTACCTTTGTGAAACAGATCTGAGATCAGTGCATGTGAGC